ATATATATATATATATATATATTCTTGTTGCAATCTTTTTTTGACAGATTTCTATAATTTGGTTATTCTTATGGTGCTGCAATAATCATTCATGTAAAATGTTTCTGAAATATATTTAGTTTTGGTCATTTAGATGTTTTTTAAAGTATATAATATGTTGGAAAGTCAATTTTTAATTTTATATATCGAAAGGAAGCTGTAAATCCTATTAACTTAGCTGTTTTTGAAATTCACCATCAGTATTGTCATCCCTGTAACCACCTGCAAATGTGCCTCTTAACCTTGTCAAAAAAGGAGGCAAATCTTTTTAGAGCACAGGCCCTGATGTTACATCCACAGCCCCAGCACAGGGCTTGGGAATGGGTTATGATATTAGTTTCCTCAGGCAGGATTAGGACTTCGGACTCAGCAGCCTGATGCTTGACCCAGGTGTCCCTCCTTCTCCAGCAGAAGGAGCTCCTTTTCTAAGGTGTACCCTGCTCATGAATATGCAAATCATGTGAATCTATGGGGGTAGTTATAGGGTTTTCTACACCCCACAAAAATATAAGATCACTGTTCTCTCTATAGTCACTGAGTACATAGGACCTCACCATGGGGTGGAGCTGTATTATCCTCTTCCTGGTGGCAACAACTACAGGTAAGGGGCTCACAGTGACAGACTTGAGGTTCAGCTATACACTCAGGGAACAATGACATCCATTCTGTTTTTCCCTTTATAGGTGTCCACTCACAGATCCAACTGGAGCAGTCTGGGGCTGAACTGGTGAAGCCTGGAGCCTCAGTGAAGATGTCATGCAAGGCTTCTGGCTACACCTTCACGGACTACCTTATATCTTGGGTGAAGCAGAGTCAGGGAAAGAACCTTGAGTGGATTGGAAATATTAATACTTACTATGGTAGTACTGGCTACAATCAAAATTTCAAGGGCAAGGCCACATTGACTGTAGACAAATCCTCCAGCACAGCCTATATGGAGCTCAGCAGTTTGATATTCGAGGACTCTGCGGTCTATTATTGTGCAAGACACAGTGTTGAAACCATATCCTGAACATGTCAAAAACCCCAGAGGAGCAGAAAGTTGCCCTGTGATTGATATGGTTCAGAGAAGATTATCCTGAAGACTTGCTGAGATATAATCATTGTAATAGTCATTTTTGTGTCTCTTTCATAGGGTCCTATGGTACTCTTTTTTACTTTTGCAAAAGGACATCTATGAATACAGTGATGCTGACTTAGGATGCTCTTAGAGTATTCCATGCCTTGTTATTCTCTTCAGCAGTGACCACCTCCACTAACATCCTTCTTCTTTAATAAAACAACAAAAAAGGGAAACTGTGATTATGCATGATAAAAGTATCTCTGGATCCTGGGAAAGTATAGAACTTTCATTCGAATAGCTGGGAATAAAGTTACATATAAATTCAACCTGTAAAATCCAAACAACTTTTGGGCAATCAAAAAGCTATTTCACAGCCTTAAATCTTAAGTGACTTCTATATATTTGCTAATTCTGCTTACATGGTCAAGCAAAAGTTCTACGGTCTTAGAATGTCAGAAGTATTTATATCAGAAAGCGTAGCTGCATTGTTCCTACTGGTACAAAGTCAAAAAGCCCTCTGAGGAGGGAATGAGGATGATTATAGGTAAGATGGAAAAAAAGACACTGAGACAAAGGTTAGAAAGCAGAGGGTTGTACATTGAATACTATGGCAACCCCAAGTTTAATTCTTATAGGCTTTATGTACTTTACAGTACAGTAGAAAACAAACTGACAAGCTGCAAAGACAATGGTTGACATACATTGGATATCTATGCTCAACTGGAAGCTTCCCAGTTCCTTCCCTCAAGATCAACAGAGCATTCAGTCCTGCTGTCTTGACTCTTCCTGACAGGTTTTCACAGAAGCAGGCAAAATGGTTCCCGACACAAGGCTACATAAGTGTAATTCTTATATGTTGGACATAAATAATATTAAATCAGTTTTCACAGAGCTCATTTTTCAACTCAGTGTATTTACATGCTAACTGAGGTAGATTCTGAGGTTATATAGTAGTGTCTGGCCCCATAAAAAGGGTCTCCTTCTTAATAATCAGTCCTTCAGTCATAAGTCTTTAGAAAACATGGGCCTATTCTTACACAACATCAATTCTCACAATTTGTTGTATACCTGGTGTCCATATTTGTCCTATAGAGTATTTGTGAATGTGTTTGTCTCTACATCTCCATCTGTTTCTTGTGCTTAGTTTTAGTTTTTTTTAGTTTTTTTTTTTTTAGGTGTGAGTTCTGTTTCATGCAGTAGGCCCTGAAACAAATCAGATCTTGGTTGATTACTCCCACAAGATTTCTACTATTTTTGTAACAGTGTAATTTGCAGGCTGGATGCAGGACACTATTTAGATCAATGGTTTTATTTAAGCTGATTTTCTGTTTATTTTTTCTTTATTGATAGCACATTGTATGCCTTCCCGTATCATAAACATTAATACACATATGTGAAGGCTCTAGAAGGGAACTAATTCTCCATATTCAATGAGTGGTTTAGGTGTTGTCCTCTTGAGGGGGATCCCTGAGGTTGTCAGTCAAGGAATCAAACCATGAGAAGAAATGAGACTGAAACCTTAGTGTGGACTGAATTCTCCACCCTAGATCAGACTTCCTGGAGGCAAAGAATAGTTTGCTGCAGATATATTTAAACAAAGCAGATTTATGAAAAGTGTTGACAGTCAACAATATTTTCAATAATAATTCCAACTCAAGTTGTTCAATGAAGTAAAAGTGTGACTATGTAGAAACATGTTTTACAACTACTTTAGTATTTTGCATGCTATCAGAGGAGAGATGAAATAATTCACGCAGCTATAATCCCTGTTATTTACCTGACTTTGTGATATGCTGCTGCAATAATGGCAGACACTGTACATATCTTCAATTCCTTTTCTCACACCATCAATATGTAACATATTTCCCTCACATAAATAAAAAGTAATATTACCGTTTTCACTGCAAGTGCTGGAAAATTTCTGAAGGATGAATGGATAGTTCCATTTCTAAACATTTTTTACACTGCAGAGCTTTTTCTGCAACATGCCACTGAGATAAACCCAGTATAGGAAGACTCAGTCATGCCTACATCACTGATTAAATATACATTAAATAAAATCTCACATTGAATATATCTGTGGTCTGGAATTTTGAGCAGTACAAAGTCATTCAGTAAAAGTTTTGAATAAGATAAATGCTTCAAAATTTCGCTAGTATTTTCCAGTTTTTGAGGATTGATTGTCAGGGTGCTTAACATCTATATTTATTTAACATTGTTAGGAAAAATTTAGGGAATACATAAAAAGCTTTAATTTTTGTACCACAAAAAATAAGTCCATACTTATTCTCAGACTTTCAAACTTAGACCCAGAAGTACTCCATGTATATCTTGAGAAGATCAGGAAATGTATTTATGTCCATTGAATCTCATATCACAGACTTATATTAACAACATGCCTCTACTCCATGGACAAAGCATCTGAGATACAACTTCTTTTTTCCTGGTTAGATATGATATTCTCTCTCAAAATAGTCTTTTGTCTGCATTTTCCATAACCAGGAGCAGCAGTACTTGTATCCTTGGCCCTCTGGCCTCTTCTTTCAAACTTGACAGCTTAGCCTGGTTCCAAAATCATACCATGATCTTTTGCTTCTTGTTAAATTTTCTACTGCCTACGTTTGATGAGGACATTTGTGAGATATTTGAATCTTATTGAAAGGATTTTAGATATTCATAAATATTTTCTATTTTTCTTGATACACCATTTAATCATAGAAAAAATCCCTATAATATTGTAACTTCAGGAAAAGGGACCCAGGTGTTAGTGCAAGTCCTATTGTCCATTCTACCTTAGGATTTCAGGGCCTCAGCTGGCACTCAGCATTCTGGGTTTGGTTTCTTTTTAAAATCTGGCTACTGCTTTGTGGTAAGATCATATTTCATGGTTTATACATATCATGATATCTTTATCTTTCAAAAGATTTTAAATATAAATATATTCTATTCATAAAAATGAGTGTGTTTTAGGTGAAGCTTGCTCTGATGAAATCAGTAGTTCACTCATAACCTACTTCCATATATTCAATTATGTTCATACCAAAAATTAACAATGAAAGTTGTACAAACTTAGACAATTCATACTATGTCTATGTTCTAAAAGATCATAAGTCACAGAAACAAGGGAGAATATATTGTATCTTAACATTTCTGAAGTAACGTAGAAATTCCAAGTCCTGGTGTGTGACTTCCAGCAACTTCTGCCCTCTGTGCTATTCTCCAGGATACTCAGTATTTGATAGAACCAACCAAAGAAACTGTATTTCTTTCCTTTTAAAATTGTCACAAATAGAGGGCAGTAAAAAAGTGAAGGCACTGGTTACTGAATAATCAGAAATCAGAAAAAATGTGAGGCAAGAAAGTGACAGATAATTCAAATCAATGAAATATGACACTCATCTGTATAATTAGTGCATTCACAGCTTCCATCCTGAAGATCACACTTATTCTGACACTTTACAAAAAGTCTACACTATCCACACATTTTTTTTGGTGTATGTGTGTGTATATGAAAAAACATATGTTCTGAGAAGGCTCATATAGGAGGCAATCTCTGGCATCAGGCTCAGACTATGACAAAGGCAGAAGAAACTTCCAATGCTTTGAGCTCTTATGTGTCTTACATTCATAGACACAAGGTAATGATCTCTGAATGCCTGAACAGGATCACAACCATTTATGTTACACTAAAGGTCTCTGTCAATCTTGTTGCTTCTATTCAGAATTCATTAGAAGTGTTTTATTCTTATTGGGATCAGAGGGAGCTCCCTTGAGGGCTCCTGCACTTTCTATAACAAATTTGTTCCTCTTGATTCCTAAAACTTAGTTACACTATCATAGTGAGCACCAAAGAAAGAAAGAAAACCTCTCCTGGCTCCACCAAAAATGGGTTGAGTGGGTTCAGGGTGGCCCTCTCTGCTTGGTCTAGGGGCAGAAGTCCCCCCTTTTAGGTTGGGTGGAGATGGGTTTTGGAAACACCCTGTATAAAGTAACAACCTCATCTTGAGTCTCGTGGTCCTCCATAGCTAACTTATGATAATGTATCTGAGTAGGTTTTGCTACCAAATTATTTATCTGTTGTATCATATTGTTAAAGAAAACACTTCTACATTTCAATGAACATACAGAATTTGAGCCTTTGTCCAAGTACAAGCTTACACTCTCCTAAGTTGTGTTCGTGAAACTCTTTGTATTTTGTACAGTATCAGAGGTGAAAAATAGTGATCACCCAGCTATAAATCTGGTTACCTACAGTACTTCCCTTCCTAAGGGTTATGTTGGTGCAATAGTGACACAAATGTTATGGTGTTAATCATTGATTCTTTGATGAAATTTAATCTTGTGAGATGGAAGTCGTGGCTGACACGGTTAAGGATGCCAAGAACCTGAAATTGGATAGACTATATATAGTCCTAGTGGAAAAACCAAAGGCTATTGTTCTAATAAATCATACTAAGAAGATGATTTTAAATTACATAACTATATGTACACCTAAATATTTATGTCAACCCATCAACTTTGGAGATATTTCTTGCAGAAGATGGGAAATAATAAAGAACAAAAAATGAACAGTTTGTAGAGAGTGTGAGATATTGGAACATTCGTGTTGTCCTCTTGAAGCCTTCTCTTTAAGAATGAGGGACCATTGCAAATGGGGAGGTTCAAGTATTGTAAGAGTCTGAGTGAATGTATGAGTCCAAAGAAACAGTTTCACTCAGAAACAATATGACCGATGCACATATGAACACACACAGACTATGGGAACAAGCACAGGGTTTATATAGATTCAAGTCAGTGGGAGTCTCTGGAGAGAGGGGGAAGTGGATATGCGTTCCCATCATTAGCCATTAATATATCTGCAACTTGTATTCACTTGCAAAATACTTTTAGTCTTCATCAGTAAAGGCTTACTTGGTATAGTAACAATACTTGATGGTAGGCCTGATGTA